TGCTGAGAACAAAGGTGAACACTGCAGTTTGTTACATCACCAGAGAGACTGTAATACTGCAAACAGCAAGGGGAGCAAAGGTTACAATCTAAAGAAGCAGCAGGCAAAGACCTCATTATATGCACAAGCTCAGGGAAGTAGCATCCCCAGAAAAAGTTTGAGACAATTCCAAAATCTCTAGTGCTAAATGATGATGGTCTTTTATACAAAGCCAATTCTTCAAGAATGCTGGAGGGGACTTTTTTCAAAGGGCCAATCTTAACAAAATATCACAAGGCTATAAAGAAAGAGTGAAACGCATCCCATTAAAAAAAAAAAAAATTAACCTCCAGAAACCAACCCTAAAGAAATGGAGATCTGACCAGGCATGGTGGCTCATGCCTATAATCTCAGCACTTTGGGAGGTCAAGGCGGGCAGATCACATGAGACCAGGAGTTTGAGGCCAGCCTGGCCAACATGGTGAAACACCATCTCTACTAAAAATGCATAAATTAGCCAGGTGCAGTGACAGACACCTGTAGTACCAGCTACGTGGGAGACTGAGGCAAGAGAATCCCTTGAACTTGGGAGGTGGAGGTTGCATTGATCTAAGATCATGCCACTGCACTGCAGTTTAGATGACAGAGAGACTCTTGTCTCAAAAAATGCCAAAGGGGATTCTTTAAAAGGTAATAATATGAAACTGTATGAAAATATGAAGAGCTCTGGTAAAGGTAAATAGATACAGAATCCCTTAGTATTGTAATGTTGGAATGTAAACCATTTTTAATCCTGAGGTAGAATTTAAAAGAAAAAAGCAAAGCTAGGCCGGACACGATGGCTGATGCTTGTAATCCCAACACTTTGGGAAGCTGAAGCAAGTGGATCACTTGAGGTCAGGAGTTCGAGACCAGTCTGAACAACATGGTGAAACCCCGTTTCTACTAAAAATGCAAAAATTAGCTGGGCATGGTGGTGGGTGCCTGTAATCCCAGCTACTTGGGTGAGGCAGGAAAATCACTTGAACCTGGAAGGTGGAGGTTGAAAAGGTTCTTGGTTGAGGCAGGAGAATCACTTGAACCTGGGAGGTGGAGGTTGCAGTGAGCCAAGATTGCACCACTGCACTGCACTCCATCCTGTATAACAGAAAGACTCCATCTCTTAATGAAAAAAAAAAAGAAAAGAAAAGAAAGCTGGGCATGGTGGCATGTGCCTGTAATCCTAGCACTTTGGGAGGCTGAGATGGGAGGATCAGTTGAGGCCAGGAGTTCGATACCAGTCTGGGCAATATTAGATAGATCTTGTCTCTAAAAAACATTAAAAAAAAAAAAGAGAGAGAAAACTGATTGCTATACTTTTTTGGTAGATTAGCCCTTTTGTCATTATGTAATTTTCCTTTCTGTCTCAATTTTCTTTGTCTATAAAGTCCACAGTATCCAATATTAATACAATAGACCACTTCAGTGCCTTGGCATTGAACTCATGGGATTCTGGGTGACCAGGGGCATTTTGCAATATCAGAAGAACATTCATGGGCAGTCCCTTACTGGCAGGGTACTTCCTGATTTTGTGGACAAAGACATCAGGGGAACCAGTCCAGAAAAAGTTTCTCATTGTTCAGGCCTTTGGTTGTATGCTCAAGGATAGAAAGTTCATACTTCCTTTTCCCTTCAAGGCTTGGAGGTTAGCAGCATTACAGATAACAGCAGTTCTGATCATAAACCTGACTACATTTTCACAAAACAGTAGAGATATATACCCTTTCCTGCCTTTATTTATTTATTTTTTGCGAAGACAGCATCTCACCACGTTGCCCAGGCTCTCCTGGAACTTGGGGTCTCAAGTGATTACCCCTAACCTCGGCCTCCCAAGGTACTGGGATTACAGGCTCCAGCCACTGTACCCAGCCTGGCTTTTAGCTTTCTTACAGCTGTCTGGGATTTGGCATTCTTTCAGGTTTGCCAAGAAAATAACATCCCTCTGTTTCCAAGATTTAAAATGTAGTTGCTGGTGTATCCTTACTTGTTTTTCCTGACCTTGTGAATTAACAACTTAACAAACAATTCCTTAAATTTGCTTTTAGCGGTACAGAGGAGGCAAAATATATTTTCCTTGCCCATCCTGTGTTCATGGCTGAGGCCCCTAAGACAAAAGACAGATTAACAAGAGAAAAACATTTAAGTTTCTTTAATATAAGTTTACATGACACAGGAGCCTACATAAAGAAGTCCCAAAGAAACAGTTAAAGTTGTGTATTTTTATACTAAATATGGTGAAGAGTCATGGAGAAATATAAATGGACAAAGGATATGATCTAATGGTAACACAGTAGGGGAACTTAAAAAGGCCTGTTTGTTCAGAGTTTTTTCTGTGACTATGTGTCTTCAGCAATAAAGATGCTACTTTCCTCCAGGTAGAGGTAGGGCAGATCTCACAGGAGAATCTTATGACCTGCTTCAGGGGAAGGTCAGGAAATTCTTCCTAGGTACAACCTGCTTTGTGGGAGATGTGTGGAAAAGTCCTTCTTGTTTTTGCTGTTTTCTCAAATGCTGAGGTGCCATATTTTGGCGGTGTGTCCTGAACTACATAAATACGTATTGGGAGGGGAAAAAATTAGATGCGTTCTACCCAATCTGCCTTCTTTTCTTCTTTACTGTATGCTTTAAAGGCTGCAAAATTTTCTCTAAATATTCCCTTTACCTACATCTTTTCTAAAAGCTTTCTAGTTTTTTACAAAATGTCTAGCTTTATTGCATTGTCAAAGAATACGGTCTGTGTGATACCAATTCTTTGAAATTTGAGGCTATTTAACAGACTAGTATGAGGTCATTTTTTAAATAAATACATGCTCTTACATGTGTTTTCTTCAGTTTTGGGATGGAGTAGTCTACATGTCTATTCATTAACATAAAACTAATTTTGATCTTCATATATTTCATATCTTTAGGGACCTTTTTGTCAGCTTTTCTATCAATTACTGAGAAAGTAGATTATAAATAACTCTGAGGCCTGGATGGTGACTCATGCCTATAATCCCAACATTTTGGGAGGCCAAGGCAGGAGGATTGCTTGAGCCCAAAAGTTAGAGACCAGCCTGGGCAACAGAGTAAGATCCCATCTGTATAAAAAAGGAAACAAAACTAAAAATAACTTCCTGTTATGGTGAATTTGTCAGAACTCTTTGTGGTTCTGCCCATGTTTGCTTTATGTATTAAATATTTTCTTTCCTGGTATATTAATGGGTTTTTTTTTTTTTTTTTTTTTTGAGACAGACTTTTGCTCTTGTTGCCCAGGCTGGAGTGCAATGGCATGATCTTGGCTCAATGCAACCTCCGCCTCCCGGGTTCAAGCAATTCTTCTGCCTCAGCCTCTTGAGTAGCTAGGATTACAGGCATGCACCACCACACCCGGCTAATTTTTTTTTTTTTTAAGTCAGAGTCTCTCGTTGCCCAGGCTGGAGTGCAGTGGCATCTCAGCTCACTCCAACTTCCACCTCCCAGGTTCAAGTGATATTCCTGCCTCAGCCTCCTAAGTGGGACTACAAGCACCCGCTACCATGCCTGGCTAATTTTTTGCATTTTTTAGTACAGATGGGGTTTCACCATATTGGCCAGGCTGTTCTTCAATTTGTGACCTCAGGTGATCCACCCTCCTCAGCCTCCCAAAGTGCTGAAATTACAGCGTGAGCAACTGCCCAGCCTAAATTAATTCTTTTATCATTATGTAATTACCTTCTCTACCTGTAGCAATATTTTTTGCCTTGAAGTTTGTTTGATCTAAGTGTAGGTACATAAACTTTCTATGTTTAATATTTGCTGGTTATATCTTTTTTTTTCTTTGACTTTCAAGCTTTGTGTATCCTCATGTTTTATTAGAGAGCTAGACTTTTACAAATCTATTCTTAGAGTATTTTTAATTCAAAAGCTCATTCTATGTGTCTGTCTAGTGATTACTGATAGATTTGGATTTATTGCTATCACATTCTTGTGTACTATTTGTCCCAGCATTTCTGATTTTCTCTCTTCCACCCCAAACTCTCTCCTTACTTTTTGGAAATTGCACACTCCACTCTTAGATTGTGGAGTTTTATGAAGGACCATTTCTCTACCAGAACAACTGTGATGAATATGCTCATGTTTTACATGTTACAGTTCTCTTGTGATCCTGGAGATAACTGGTTCAAGTTATCTGTCTTAGCGCAGCAATAGATTTTTGCTTAGTTAATGATGTGTAGGGCTAGCTGGGTTACCTTAGATTGACTATATGAATAGTTAAGTTTTTCATATTTTTCAGCATTTTGAAATAATTCAGACAGTTGTGAGAGAGAAAGCGCCAGATATCAAAGGCAGTAAAAACATTTTATTAAGTGGTACTGCAGTGGAGGAAAGCAGCTTCATTAAAGCTGAGCTCAACTCAATACAGCAAAACCAGCCTGGGATTTATAAAGCCAACAAGCACAGTGGGTGGAAAATGTCTAAGAGCAGACATCAGAAGTAGGGGGTTTCTCGCTAACAGCAGCCAAGAACTTAAGACTTAAAGGTGGCAGATGAGAAATTTGGTCAGCTATTGAGGGTGGGATCGCTAGCAGGATTGTAGGGCCTTGCAGGCCCAGGACAAGGCCTACTTAAAAACAGGGCTTAGGGGCCTAAAGTTTGGTTAAGGAGAGCGTACAGTGAAAGTAAGAGGCAGAGAAAATTTGCAGCTACCTTTAGAAAACTAAGTATTACCATCTAAGCTGCTATATTGATCTGCACATCTCCAAGTTCTGAAGTGGTAGATCCATTTGAAATTACTGGAACATAGGCCACACATTTAACTGATGGAGAATTTGTCCACATTCTGAAGGGTGATAATTCTCAAACACTTCGAGCAGCACCTGACAGTGAGTGAGCTGGGGGACGGGGTGTGGTGGCGATTCCTGAGGGGCCGGCAACGAGCCGCACTGTGCAACCTCATGTCTTCCTTACCCCTTGGCGAGGGGGACCTCTGGGTGCTGTCCTTTCAGAGGACAGAGGCTTACCCAAGGCCGTCCCTTCTTCCCATGGGGTGGACGTCGACATGCTCCAAAGGGGGACATCTAGCCCGGGTAAGGCGGCCGCCTGGGAACCCCGCGTCCCGCCTGGAAACCGACGGCCTGCGCAGCGGCCACACGGTGGACCACTGCCGCTGGTCACTGCCACAGCCTCGCCCTGTGGGGGCCCCTGCGCTTGCGCACTCCGACGGCCGAACCGTTCTGCGGCCCGCAGCCTTGTGGGAAATGTAGTCTTGGTGCTCCGGGCTGCAGGCGCCGGGCGCGCTGCGTCGGTCGCCGGCTGCTCCCGCTCCTGCTGGGAGAGGGTGAGTGCGGGGCCCGCGACGGGGGCGCGCCAGCCTTGAGTCTCGTAGGCCACAGCTGAAGGAACTTAGGACTGCGGGGCGAGGCTGGCCGCGCAGGGCCGAGGGGCCGGCCCGGCAGCGGATGGGCCAGGGGCGCGGCCTCACTGTACCTGTGGAGTGCCGGGTCCCCCTCAGCTCCCAGTGCGCTCCCTCTTCCCCAGGACCTGACGGCTGGAGCACTTCGGGAGCTATGTTTCCTCCGGTGCGCTCCCGGGACAGGCGCGGAGGTGGAATCACAGCCCGGGAGCGACGGGGACGGGGGTTCGAACAAGGGCTACACCGGCCACCACGGGTCAGGGAGGGGCCCAAGGTTCCAGGAGTCGCTCGGACCCGAATTCCTCCCTGGCTTTCCCCGGCCAGCGCAGCCTCTTCCCGGGACACGCCGCGAAAGTGGAGCGAACCTGCCCCGCGGACATCCCGGGAATTCTGGGCCAGAGACCGGGGTCTCTATGCGGCACCTGCTCTTTGTGTAAACCGCGTCTGGGGACCCGCCCTCTGGTTCTCATTCCTAGGGCACTGGCAGGGGCTCCCTTCCCATCTCTCCGTTAAGAATGGGGAGGCCAACCAACCGGATACAGGTTTCTACCTCAGGGAATCTTTTTTTGGGGGGAAGCCGTTTCACTGTAACACAACTAGAAAATTCAGATTAAAACAATCATTTAACATCTGTCTAAATCTGCATGGCAGCATGGATATGTGTATAAGCATAGAAACACTTTGCACTTTGTTTTTAAACAGAAATATTAGTAGCGTTTTCCTCTATCTTTTAAAATTGAGTCATGAGATGCGTTTCGTAAGGTGTTTGAAGTGCACAAATCTTAAGCCTCATATTTTTTACTGGCCTGAACACCACCCAATGAAGATAGGGAATACACCTGGAAAAAAAAATTTAATGTGTTGACACCATCTACTTATTATCAGATTTTAAATACAGCCACATCGTCATTTTAATGAGTGTGAGGGAAAGTATGGATGTGAATCCTTTCCTTAGGTTTTTGTGTTAAGGTTTTTTTTTTTTTCAATATTATAAACAATATAGGTCATCTGGCTACATACATCTTTGCATTTTGTCTTATTCTATAAATCTCTTAAAGTGGAACTTCTAGGTCAAGGGTACAGTAAGGCTTTTGATACCTCCTGCCTTATTCCCTCCAGAAAAGTGGCAGATTATATAAACACTTGCAGTGTAAGAGTGCCAGATTTACCCACACCAACTTTCAATGTTAGTATTCTCTTGAATTTCTGAATGGTGAAAAAGTTGCATTTAGTGTGCATTTTGAACACTAAATATTTTCATGCAGTTTGTATTTTGTATTTTAATTTTGTATCTGATACATAAGCATGTTTTCTGACTATGCAGAGATGTCGCAGGTTCATATGGACATGAAAACCTTTTCTTCACATTTGAGTGTTTGATATCATTGTCAGCGAAGCCTTCTGTCCCACAAGATCACAAAAATGTTTGTAGTTTCTCTTAGTACTTTTATTTTTTGTGTACATTTTAATTCTTTTCCAAATGATAAGCCTTTGTTACAAGTTACTTTTTTCTTTGCTGATATGTCACTTTTTTCATATCTTGAATTCATATATGTGTGTATGTATACATATATATGTGTATAGACACATGCGTATATATGACCATTTAGATTGGTAGAATTTTAATTTGTTTCATTGATCCTTTTCCCTGTTTGGCTATAACATCCATGAGCTCGGAGAATTTATCTGTTTTATTTACAGCTGTATCCACCCCCATCCCCATGCAATGGTGCCTGGTACAAAGTAGGCGGTCAACAATGTCTCTGGTAAATAAGTCAGTAATACTGTGTTCCAATTCTTGTAGCTTTATAAATATTGGTGGGCAAGTTGTCTCTCATCAGTATTCTTTTTAAACAAAGATCCTAGCTGTTGTACCACACAACTTAAACATTTTTTCAATAATTAATTAACTTTTTTAAAAAATTGAGATGGAGTCTTGCTCCGTCACCCAGGCTAGAGTGCAGTGGTGTGATCTTGGCTCACTGCAACCTCCACTTCCCCGGTTCAAGCAATTATCCTGCCTCAGCCTCTCAAGTAGCTGGGATTATAGGTGCCGACCACCACTCCCTAATTTTTGTATTTTTAGTAGAGATGGGGTTTTGCCATTTTGGCCAGGCTGGTGTCAAACTCCTTAAGTGATCCACCTGCCTTGGCCTCCCAAAGTGCTGGGATTATAGGTGTATGCCACCATGCCTGGCCCACGTTAACTTTCACATATTGTTACTTAGGTGTAACTTGGTTGGGAATGTGTTAAGTTTATAAATTAAAGAAATTATATCCTAGGATATTAAGACATCTTGTGCAAGAATATGTCATGTCTCTCTGTCATTCATCTTTATATAGCTAAATAAACATAATAAAGTAAACTTAATACATGTTTTCTTTATGTAGACACTATTCAGGTCTTACTTAGTTTATTTATTGTATTTTTGTTGTTGCTGTTTCGGGAGTCTTGTTTCTCATGGCTTCTTTCCCTTCCCTCAGCTCTGCCTCCTCTGACTTCTGTCCCTCCCTAAGGAAGAACCCCACAGGAAGAAAGGAGAAGGCAATGGCTGCTTGGTCTCTGCCACTGGGAGCTCAGGTGAGCTCATTTTTCCTCTCTCAAACCTCCCCCTTACTCCTATACTGCATGTGGGTTCACTGCCAAGGACGGGGTTATTGAAATAGCAGAATGCTGGATATTTTTCACAAAGCCCCCTCAGTGTTCCTGACCTCCATTCCCAGCTGCCACTTACTCATTAGGCTGGATACCCTGGCCTGCTGTGTACTTGGTGTTGTTCAAGGGTCAGAAAGGGAACAAAAATTATGTGAGTTGGTCCTGGTGCTTATAGGGCTTACGGGCTCTTAGGGATCATAAAAGAGGGCACATCTGCATGGGATACAATCATAATTGTACCTGAATATGGTAATAAGAACCAGTGTGGGCTGGATGCAGTGGCTCACACCTGTAATCCCAGCACTTTGGGAGGCCGAGGTGGGTAGATCATAAGGTCAGAAGTTCAAGACCAGCTTGCCCAATATGGTGAAACCCTGTGTCTACTAAAAAATACAAAAATTAGCCAGGCATGGTGGCATGTGCCTGTAGTCCCAGCTACTTGTGAGACTGAAGCAGGAGAATCGCTTGAATCTGGGAGGCAGAGGTTGCAGTGAGCTGAGATTGCACCACTATGCTCTAGCCTGGGTGACAAAGTGGGACTCTCTCAGAAAAAAAAAAAAAATAATAAAGAACAAGTGTGGTTAGGAATTCAGGTTATCAGTAATCCAAGCCTGTGTGAAGGGGAGAATCAGGGGCATGGCCAGGAGAAGTAGGGAGTGTTTGTCCATCTCAAGGGTTGGGAAAGTATAACTGGAGAGGATTTGGTATACTTGAGTCAGGGTGTCCAGAGTTTAAATCCTGACTATACCATTTAATAGCTACATTGTCTTGGCAAGAGGCTTGACTTTCCTAAAGCATTATTCCTCATGGTCATAATAGGAATTACAGCATTAACTAAGTGTCTGCCATATAGGTGGCATTGTTAAGAATTTCACATGGCTCATTTCATTTAATAATACCTACTTCATAGGTCTATTGAAAGTTCAAATAAAATAAGTAAAAACTGCCTGGCATGGTTCCTGGAATGTTGAAAGTATTCAGTAAGTGGTAGGCATTCTTAGTATCATCCCAGCCAAGAGCCTGGTGTTTAGACTTCTAGAGGTGGAATGAAGGGAGCAGTGACTGATAGATATGCTTGACTGGAGTAGAAGAAATCAGATAAGAATTGTAGGACCAAATGTCAGGAAGAAGGAGTTTGTGTGTTTGTCCAGGTGGTGGCCATGGGGGTGGAGGTCAGTCTAAGGAATTTTGATAAGGGAGCTGGCACGATCAAAGCATTTCTAGGAAAAAGTAGTATCCATGAGATAGAGGGAAGCATGGAGCTAGGATAGTAGGTGAGGATTCCAGGTTTCTCTGAAAAAGAAAATAAGGCATCAGAAGACTTGGCCCTAAGTTCTTTTTTTTTTCCTTAAATGTTAAACTTACTTAGCCTTGTTGTCTGGAATACTAAAGACTTATGTTTTCTCTTTTCATAAAATTATTTATTTGGGGGTCCTTGATTTATTAGGATCACTTGTTTATTTATTAGAGACCAGTTTAAAAAAGGGTTAGTGGAGGCAAGTATAAACTTGCGATTTCCATTTGTACTACTTTCTTCAGTATCAAACTCAGCTGTAAAAGACAAAATAACTTTTTCAAAATGGGGGTGTTAGAGAAAGGGAATTTTTGGAAGAGGGAAAGGTTGAAAGGGGAAGCATTCCGAAGATTTTGGTTGATGACAGTTGTGGTTTGGTTGTCAGTAATCTAAATTTTAATTTATTTAGTCAAAATAGTGTTAATTTTTAAATCAGTTTTTTTCTGAGGCACAGTTTAATAAAATCACCCATTTTAAATACAGAATTTATTGAGTTTTTACAAATTTATGCACCAACATAGCCACCAGTTCAGTCAAGGTATAGAACATTTGCATCACCCCAGTCAGTGTCCTCATGCCACTTCTAGTCCATGTTCCCTACCCCTGGCAATCACTGGTTTGATTTCTGTCAGTTTAGTCTTGCCCTTTTCTAGAACTTCTTGTAAATGAAATCAAACAGTATGTATACTTTTGTGCCTGGCTCTTTTTGCTCAACATAATGTTTTGCAGATCTATCTATGATATTGTATGTAGTAATAGTTTGTTCCTTTTTATGTTTAAGTAGTATTCAGTTGAATATACCACCTTTTGTTCATTCAGTTGTGACAGATATTTCAAGTTGTTTCCTGTTTTTAGCTATTGTGAATAAAACTGCTCTGAACATTCACATATGAGTCTTTGTGTGGATATACAGTTTCATTTCTCTTGGGTAAATACCAAGGAGTAAAATTGCTGGGTCAAGTTGTACATTTGAATTTGTAACAAACAGCTAAACTGTTTTCCAAAGTATATGTATCATTGTACATTCCCTCCAACAGTATTTGAGAATTCCTGTTGCCCTATGTCCTCTTTCATGTTTGATATATCCGTTTCCAAGAGCTGCTGTAATAAAGTGCCACAAATTGAGTGGCACAAAACAATAAAACTGTATCGTCTCACAGTTTTGGAGGCAAGAAGTCTGAAATTAAGGCATTTGCAGGGCCATGCTCTCTGAAACTTGTCGGTGAATCCTTTCTTGCATCTTCCTAGCTTCTAGCTTCTGGTGGTTTGCTAGAACTCTGGTGTTCCTTGGTTCATGGCTCTATGATTCTAATCCCTACCTCCTTTGTCACTTGATGTTCTCCTTATGTGCTGATGTCTTCAAATAGCCATTTTTCTTATAAGGATGCCAGTCATATTAGAGTGTGGGCCTACCCTACTTCATTATGACCTCATCTTAATTAGTTAAATTTGAGACAACCCTATTTTCAGATAAGGTCATATTGCAAGGTACTAGAAGTTGGGACTTCAACATATCTTTCTTGGGGGACACAGTTCATAACACTAGGTATTATAAGCCTTTTAAATTTGAGTTATTTTCAAGGGTGAAAAATGGAATCTCATGGTTCTTAAAAAAATTCTTATTATGCAATAATTTCAGACTTTAAAAGCTGCTGTAAGGCTGGGCACGGTGGCTCACGCCTGTAATCCCAGCACTTTGGGAGGCCAAGGCGGGTGAATCATGAGGTCAGGAGTTCAAGACCATTCGGCCAACATGGTGAAACCCCATCTCTACTAAAAATACAAAAAATCAGCTGGGCATGGTAGCACACACCTGTAATCCCAGCTACTTGGGAGGCTGAGGCGGGAGAATCACTGGAACACAGGAGGCAGAGGTTGCAGTGAGTTGAGATCATGCCTCTCCCCTCCAGCCTGGGCAACAGAGTGAGACTCCATCTAAAAAAGAAAAAACTGCTACAAAAAATAAAACAATTTCTGGATAGCCTTCATCTAGATTAACATTTTGCCATTTTCCTCTCCCTGTATACACACACACACACACACACACACACACATAAATATATAAACATAAATATGTATGTGTATATATATTTCCAAACCATTTGAGAATAAGTTACCCATTTAACACTGTGTCAGTGTATGTTTTCTATTATCATATATAACAAAAATATAGTTATCAAAATGAGAAAACTTACATGGATACAATACTGTTAGCCAATCTACAAACCTTACTTGGATTTTGTCACTTGTCCCACAGGTGTCCTTTATCTGGTGCAGGATCCTATCCAGATCACACATTGTATTTATCTGTTGTATCTCCTTGGTCTACTTTCATCTGGAATAGTTCTTTAGTATTGATCTTCAGTGACTTGGATAATTTGAAGAGTGCAGGCCAATTTATTTCATAGAATGCTCCTCAATTTGGGTTTGTTTGATATTTGCTCATAATTTGATTCAGATTTTCATTAATTAAAATTTGAGGTTGGGCTTGGTGGCTCACACCTGTAATCCCAGCACTTTGAGAGGCTGAGGCAGGCGATCACAGGGTCAAGAGATCGAGACCAGCCTGTCCAACATGGTAAAACCCCATCCCTACTAAAAATACAAAAATTAGCTGGGCATGGTGGTGCACGCCTGTAGTCCCAGCTACTTAAGAGGCTGAAGCAGGAGAATCACTTGAACCTGGAAGGCGGAGGTTGCAGTGAGCTGAGATTGTGCCACTGGACTCCAGCCTGGTGACAGAGCAAGACTCTGCTTCAAAAAAAAAAAAAAAAACAATTGAATGGCTGATATATTCATGGTATTCAAAATTCAAAAAATATAAATAAGCATTCACTTAAAATAAGTCTTCTTCCTATCCTTGTCTCTAAGCTCCTTGTTCTCCAGCCACATAAAAAGGTAATGATGCTCATGTTTTGTGTAGCCTTCCAGAGATAACTCCAAAAGCCCATAAATATACATATTTTCCCCAATTTTTTATCCAATTGGTAAGAGATAATATTTATTCAGGATTATGCACTTGTTGTATTTTCAGCTATTTTGCATTTCACAATATATCTTGGAGACCTGTCCATATCAGTACAGTACATCAGGGGCTTCTTTCTTTGATTATGTGGGTATATCATAGTTTAGTTAACCAGTCTGTCTTTTTATTTTTATTATTATTTTTTTGAGATGGAATTTTGCTCTGTCACCCAGGCTGGAGTGCAGTGGCACGATCTCAGCTCACTGTAACCTCTGCCTCCTGGGTTCAAACGATTCTCCTGTCTCAGCCTCCTGAGTAGCTGGGATTACAGGTGCATGCCACCATGCCCAGCTAATTTTTGTATTTTTAGTACAGATGGGGTTTCACCATGTTGGTCAAGCTGGTCCCGAACTCCTGACCTCAAGTGACCCACCCGCCTCGGCCTCCCAAAGTGCTGGAGTTACAGGCATGAGCCACCATGCCTGGCCTAACCAGTTTGTCTTAACGGACATTAGTCTAGACATTTGATAGCAGCTGACTACAGGCATTTCTTCACTTTTGTTGCTGCTTCTCTGCATTGCTGTTCAATCACTTGGAACTATACAGTAGATAATGAGAAATGAGTGACTCAGATGTTGAGAAATAAAGTGTAATTGTCAACTAGATGTGCAGTTATGAAGTATAGTAAGATTTGGGACATACCAGTGCAATATTAGAGTTGTTTTCCTTTTTTCATCTTTCTCCATAGTGTTATCTTTCACATATGGGCCAGTGACGTGAGTATGAATTGTCCAGGTATTACTGTTATTTGCCTTTAATCTTTTTTTCTGAATATAAATATTGGGCATCTAAACTAATATCTACTAGCCCTTTTTAAAAATTTAAAGGCTATGAGAGAGATTTCCAGGTATCCAGCCCTCAAAAACAACTATGATATACATTCTTCCAGCCTTTTAAAATACCTATCTACAGCGTTTGCCCATTTTTATATTGGGTGATTTACATATAAAAGAGGTATTTTCTATAAAGTGGATAGTATTCCTTTGCCATAGTTGCCAATATTCTCCATAATTTTTCTTTTAAATATGTTTATAATAAAATTTCCTTTCTCTTTGCTTGGCTTTGGGGTCATGCTATGAAAAATTTTCTGTAACCACAAGATAATATAAATTTTTTGTGTTTTCTATTAGTTTTTAATTTTAAATTTACATCCTTGAGCTATCTGGGATGTACTGTCTGTGATGTGAAGTAGGGGTCTAGCTTCATTTAACATGATGTCGTGAAGCATTTCATCAATCCATCCACTTGTTAAACATTTAGCGCCTCTCCACCATGTGCTACGCCATGTTCTGGATCCTGGGAATATAGCAGTGAATAAGAGATGCAAGGTTTCCTTCTCTTAGATCTTATTTTCTATAGGGGATGCAGACAATAAAAAGGGAATATTATTGAGGATAGTGTTAAGTGCTGTGATGAGGACACAGCAGGACAATATGGTAGAGTATCACTCAAGGCTGTTTTAGCTTGGCAGAGGAGTGGCCCCTCTCAGGAGATGGCATTGGAGCTGATATTACTGAAATAACCTGCTCACTCTCCGTAGACTTGAAATGAAACCTTTAAAATAGGCCAGACTGTCACATATATATAAAAATACATGAGTTTATTTATTTATTTATATATCGTTTACATATATTTATATTTGAGTTTATTTATTTATTTATTTGAGACAGAGTCTCACTTGTCACCCATGCTGGAGTGCAATGATGTGATCTTGGCTCACTGCAACCTCTGCCTGCCAGGTTCAAGCAATTCTGCTTCAGCCTCTCGAGTAGCTGGGACTACAGGTGTATACCATCATGCCCAGCTAATTTTTTCTATTTTTAGTAGAGATGGGTTTCACCATGCTAGCCAGGCTGGTCTAGAACTGACCTCATGAACCACCTGCCTCAGCCTCCCAAGTGCTGGGATTACAGGCATGAGCCACTGCGCCCAGCCCATTTTGCTATTTCATAAAGCGACTCTCCCCTCACTTTTCTTTTCAAAAGTTTGGTTACTGTTCTCATATATTTATCCTTCTAGTTGAACTATATTATCAAGTTCCAACAGTAATAGTAAAAAAGTAAAAATATGCAGTTCTGATTTGAATTTCAAAGTCTGTAAGTCAATTTGAGGAAGATTGCTATCTTTACAATGTTTATTCTTCTTATTAAGTAAAAAAAAATGATGCTTCATTCTATTCAGATCTTTCATTATGGCCTTTGTTAACTTTTTATAGACTGATCATAAAGATCTTGCATATTTCTCTTAACTGTATCCTCATGTGTTTCATTTTTTGTTGCTGTTGTGATTGGGGTTTAGTGATTGTGATTTTGTAAAGAAAAAAAATTGGATTGATAAGTATTTGTTTGTTTGCTTCTTGTTTTTTTTTTTTTTTTTTTTGAGATGGAGTTTTGCTTTTGTTGCCCAGGCTGGAATACAATGGTGTGATCTCAGCACACCGCAACCTCCACCTCCTGGATTCAAGCAGTTCTCCTGCCTCAGCCTCCCAAGTAGCCGGGATTACACCTGGTTAATTTTGTATTTGCAGTAGAGACAGGGCTTCTCCATGTTGGTCAGGCTGGACTTGAACTCCCGACCCAGGTGATCCACCCACCTCGGACTTCAAAAGTGCTGGGATTACAGGCGTGAGCCACCACACCCAGCCGGATTGCTAAGTATTATATCTGAAAATAGTTTGCTGCTGCGGTGCCTAAAACTTCATCATTATCATATTTTCTTTATCAATTATATTTTAATCATTTATAATATCCTTACTTATTCTATTTGATATGCAGTCTCTTTTCAAAGAATAACAATATCAAAAAGTGTTTGTTTTTAGGTTTAAGAAAACTTCTGTGTAAGATAAACCCATGAATCTCCTTACATTCTGTACTGAATGTAGTGCTGGGGGGGAAATGACCCATACTAAATGGAAAGGAGGAAAGGAACAAAACATCATAAGGGATTGATGACAAATGTATGATATTACTAAGTTTCATGTTCATTTTTTTTTGGAGACAAGGTCTGACTCTATTGCCCAGACTGGACTACAGCAGTGCAATCTCAGCTCACTGCAACCTCCGCCTCCCAGACTCAAGCCATGCTCCCACCTCAGCCTCCTGAGTACCTGGGACCACAGATGCACACTACCACACCCAGCTAATTTTTGTCTTTTTTGTAGAGACAGGGTTTCGTCATGTTACTCAGGCTGGTCTCGAACTTCTGAGCTCAAGCCATCTGCCTGCCTTGACCACCCAAAGTGCTGGTATTATAGGCGTGAGCCACCACGTCCTACCATGCTCACCTTTTAAGATGCCTTTTCTAGTTGCCTAAATCAGCACTTTACCAGTCCACAGCTGGCACAGGGATCTGCAGGGCATTTCACAATAGAAGCTCTGGATGCTGGGCACAGAGGCAGCACTTAAGGTGGTGACAGTTTAGGGAAGCAAGGCAGACCAGCACACAGCAACCTGGATTTGGACTTTTATTTTGCCTACTATATTCAGCAAACAAGGTAATTTATTGAAAAAAGTGGATTATTTTTGGAAGGGGAACCTTGTATTTCTGATTTGATGCCATCTTTCACCAAAAAGAGGCTTATTTTGTTTTCACATATTCTACCTTATCTGTGTTATTCTCGATGCTTTCTTTTTATTTGCATCTGCCTGCCATATCCTGTCTCTGCCTTCTTCTTTTGAAATTTTAAGCTTGTTGGTTTCTGTTTTAGGTATATCTTTTGTAGGTACCATACAGCTGGATTTTAAATCAATTTTAGAGTTTTTGTCTTTTAATAGGCAAAGTGAACCATTGATGTTTGTCACTATATATGCTTAGGTATTTTTCTGGTTATTTATTTTATTTATTTATTTTTGAGACAGAGTCTCACTCTTTTGCCCAGGCTGGAGTGCAGTGGTGTGATCTCAGCTCATTGCAACCTTTACCTTCTAGGTTCAAGCAATTCCCCTACTTCAGCCTCCGAGTAGCTCGGACTACAGATGTATGCCACCATACCCAGCTAATTTTCATAGAGATGGGGTTTTGTCATGTTGGCCAGGCTCGTCTCAAGCTCCTGACTTCAGGTGATCCACCCACCATACCCTCCCAAAGTGCTGGGATTACAGGTGTGAGCCATTGCGCCCAGCCCCTGGTTATTTATTTATGGTTATCATGCTGGTTATTTCCTTTTTTCTTCTTTCTTTATGTTTGTTGAACATCTGATGATTTTTTTAGTTCCCTTTCTCCTTGGATAAAGTGGAAATCTGCACTTTTCCTGAAAATAATTTGTCAGTAATTTTAAATATATTTTTGGTCCTTTGAAATATTGATTAAGTAAAATTAGAGAGAAATGAGGTAGAAAGAAACACAGTGAACTCTGATTCTGTGTTGACACTTTTTCTGGAGTCTTAGATACAAAGTACACACATTTCTTGGAAATGGATTTTGCTCTCTTTTGTGTTGTTCTCCTCTTTCCACTACAGTTGGCCCTTAAATAACACAAGTTTGAATTACACAGGCCCACTCTGATGCAGATTTTATAAAAGTGGCCCAATAAAAGTTACACTGAGTGTGCCTGCCTCTCCTGCCACTTACTCCACCTCTGCTACCCCTGAGACAGCAAGACCAACCCCTCCTCTCCTTCCTCCTCCTCTGCCGTCTCTAGGTGAAGACGAGGATGAAGACCTTTATAATGATCCACTTCCATTTAATGAGTATATGTGAAATAACTGTTTATGTTATTAGTAAGTCTTCAAGTTAGCAGTAGGCTATTAGGAATAAAGTTCTGGGGGAGTCAAAAGTTATACGTGGATTTTAGACTGTGAGAGGGGTTGGTGTCCCTAACCCCGACGTATTCAAGGGTCAGTTGTGCTTTCGCCCTTTGCTTATTTACATATCAAAATGCTCTCTGTCCTTAAATGATGAAAACCTTTTCTGTTGCTTTATTTCTGTTACGTATTCTTATTTTCATAGTCTTACTCTCAGCTTTAAAAAATTTTTTTTTGAGACAGAGTCTTTCTCTGTCGCCAGGCTAGAATGCAGTGGCGTGATCTCAACTCACTACAACCTCCACCTCCTGGGTTCAAGCAAATCTCCTGCTTCAGCCTCCCAAGTATCTAGGACTACAGGCACATGCCACCATGCCCAGCTATATTTTGTTTTTTTAGTAGAGACGGGGTTTCATCATGTTGGCCAGAATGGTCTCCATCTCTTGACCTCATGATCCACCCACCTCGTCCTCCCAAAGTGCTGGGATTACAGGCGTGAGTCACCGTGCCCGGCTACCCTCAGCTTCTTTACAAAAAGCTTTAAGTAATTTATCTGTCTGTACACAGTGGCTCACACCTGTCATCCCAGTTCTTTGGGAGGCTAAGACGGGCAGATCACTTGAGGTCAGGCGTTTGAAACCAGCTTGGCCAACATGGCGAAACCTCATTTCTACTAAAAATACAAAAATTAGCTGGGGGTGGTAGTGGGCACCTGTAATCCCAGCTACTTGGGAGGCTGAAGCAGGAGAATTGCTTGAACCCAGGAAAAGGATGTGCAATGAGCCAAGATTGCACCACTGCATTTCAGCCTGGGCGACAGAGCAAGACTGTATCTCAAAAAAAGCATAAAAGAAAAAAAAAAGAAAAAGTAATTTATCTGGCTTTTTTTTTTTTCTTTTTTGATATGCAGTTTTGCTCTTGTCATCCAGCATCCAAGCTGGAGTGCAATAGCGTGATCTTGGCTCACAGCAACCTCTGCCTCCCGAGTTAAAGTGATTCTCCTGCTTCAGCCTCCTGAGTAGCTGGGATTACAAGCACCCACCACCACACCTGGCTAATTTGTATAGTTTTAGTAGAGACAGGGTTTTACCATGTTGGCCAGGCTGGTCACAGACTCCTGACCTCAGGTGATCTGCCTGCCTCAGCCTCCCAAAGTGCTGGGATTACAGGCGTGGGTCATAATGTCAGCCTGTTTTTGATTCTTTATGTCTTATTTATGCTTCTGTCCACTATAAACTCACTTCCACCTCCACCACACTGCTAAAATTGCAAATTTTTACATCAGGAGCTCTTTTTTCCATTAGCATTCTATTTGTCTGACTCTATGACCTCTTTCTTGAAACTCTCTTTCCCCCATGACCTCTTTCTTGAAACTCTCTTTCCCCTGACCTTCCAGGTGAATCTCCTTCTATCTTTCTGATTCTGTTGTTTGCCACAGTTCTTTTCTTGGCCATCTTCTCATCTCACAACATAGGGAGTTAGATGCCCATAGGGAGTTGGGTTCAGGTTCCAGCTGTGTGATCTTGGATAAGTTATCTAATGTCTTTAATCCTCAGATTCCTCATCTATAAAATGATTACTGCTATCAATCTAGCAGGTTCTTCTATAGGTTAAATGAGGTGAGACGTGAATCTCCTATTAGTAAAAACTGAGTACAAATGTTAGTTACCATTTATAGTAGCCACCACTCAGTTGGATTTTCCCTCATGAAATGGATATTAAATGTTTATAGTATTTTAGTTCCTATACTAAGGGCTAGAGAACAAGACTACAGTGGACTTACACATTTGAAATGCCAATTTCAAGTATAGCTGAATTTGTTATTGGTTCTTTCATAGAACAACCACATTCTAGATTTTCTCTGTTTATACATGCTTTCCTCCATTAACTGGAATTCCCACTTGTCTTATTCCCACTTGTGCTCCTTTGACATCCTGGAGCCTCTAGGGCAGTGAGTCAGGCTGTGAGACCTGGCTATGAATTCCCCTATTCTTGTCAGATGTGCCTCTTCCCACCAGGAAAAGCTCTCTGACCCACTGGCTCCCCCATCAGCTGGGCCAGATACTGCCTACCCTGTCCTCAACCTAATGGTCTCACCTCTCTACCAGCCTGTGAAATTATTCAAACAAGCAAGTCACATCCTTCCATGGTAGCCAAAGGTCACCCCAATCCCCTGTCACTACAGAGCCTGCTCCCATAGTCCCTGCTGGTTCACCAGGTTCCTGAATGTTAAACCCTTTATGACCCTGAATGACATGTGGTGCCCTCCTCCCCTGGGTGACTGTATGTGGCTGATAAATTGTTGTTGTCCTCATCTGTTCAGTGTCAGGTGTCCTATGTTGGTCATCATGTACCATTTAGGGAAGGGATTTCCTCCTTCACCAATGGGGTGAATAGGAGGTGATCACAACACCACCCCCTCCCCTTCCAGGGGAATCTAGAGCAACCTGTAGTGCCCTTCCCTATTTCTCACTTACACCTACACTTCCTGAACTTAACTCCCAAAGCACTTTTTAAATTATATCTCTGGTTATTTTGTGATTCGTTGCAGGCATTTTCTTCCATTTGGAAGGCAGCATGTTTTCTCATACAAATCTTTGTGCCCTGTCCTTCTAGTGCTGCTGGCTTTTCACTTCCCTCAGGGGTTTTGTTGGCATAATCCCTTATTGAGCAATTTTTACTTTCAGGAGTCAGTGACCTTCAAGGATGTGTCTCTAGATTTCTCTTGGGAAGAGTGGATTCAACCAGATTGTGCTCAGAGGATGACAGTGTATGGGAACGTAATGTTGAAGAACTATAGGAACCTGGTTTCATGGGGTAAGGACTTCTTGTAACTCAAAACCTACCTCTTGACACCTTTCCCCGCTCAATTGCAAATTTTCCCCTATGATACCTTCTGTGTGACCTGAAATTTATGGATTTGGACTAAAAGTCTCTGATCATAAGGCATTGTTTTAGGGTGTTTGCTTGGTGTCCTCTCTTTCAAGGTAGAAGATCTTTTCTGTATAGAATGGAAAATGGGGGACTTCATTAGCCACACCTTCCTTATTTCAGAAGCCCTGAAGGAGAACCGATCAGAACTGTGCTAGGATTGGTATTTAGACTCAGTTCAGAACCCACATTTAATATCTTTCCTCTCAAGCAGGAAATTACCTTTCCAAACCCAATGTGACTTCCCAGCTGGAACGAGAAGAACTGAGCCTGATGAAAAAAGAACTGCCTGAGGGTGGCTTTCCAGGTAAGTGGCAGGCTGCACAGACTTGCTACATGAATGTGTCTCTTTGGGGAAGATCACTTCAGAGATCCTTGGGTCTCTGCAGAGACTAGGGCCACTGGATGTGTATTCTCAGATGATACGTACACATTACTGATGGGCCTCATTTCCCTAGGGCTCACTTAGGTCATCTTGGAGGGAGGTGGTGGTACCTCCTTTATTATGAGAAGTAAATACCAGGAGAATAAATGAATAAAGGAAGAAAGAAGGGAGGAAGGGACAGAATGGAAAGGAAAGGAGGCAGGAAGGGAGGAAATGCATATAACACAGTGATGCGTGTGATGTGGAAAAATAAAGCAGCATAAGGGAACTACAATAGTTAACGATTTCACAGGATAGTCAGGGAAGGCCTCTCCTTTAATGTGACTTTTGAACAAATACTCAAAGTGATGGGCTACGTGGGAGAACACTGGGGGACATAGGAAACAGCAGGTGAGAAAGCCCTGAAGTAGGGGATTATGTGGCATTGTTTGAAGGGGAGAGTGCGAGGAGATGTGAAGATTTCTGTAAACCTTACCTTTCAGTTCTTTTGTGAAAAGATCTATTTGTACTTTTTTTTTTTAATTTCTGTAAGCCACTTTCTCATTCTCTGAGTATTCTTAAATAGCAGTCTTTCTAATGCATGCATTAAGTTCACTCATCTGTTTGAGAATATTTCATTTTTTTGTTTCTTGTTTTCTGGTATGTATGTGCAGCAGTTTTTTCCTTGCTCCTTAGATTTATTTTATTTATGCCATTTTCATAGCTTATTGTCATTCTGGTGGGTTTTCTGGAGGCAGCAGAAGCAAACACATATATTTTAATAATGTGTTTTCATCTCCCATTTCTTTACCCCCTTCATGCTTCCTCACTGGGTTGGAACTTAAAGCTTTTTCATTTGTTTTATTTTAAATTGCATTTCACACTGTATTTTACTCATCATTTTGAATGTCATCTACCCACTAACATGTAGGCTCATTGAATTGTTTTGAACATGTTTTTGTTTACATTCCCTGCCTACAACATTTTCTGCTGGAGTAAGTAGTTAAATATTTGTTGAGTGAATATTGAATGATATCAAGTAGAATTTTCAGAAATCAGGTGAAAATATAAATTTGATTTTGTGAAATTCATATCAATACAGATTGGATAATTATTTAGATGAGCAAATGAGTGGGCAGGGCAAAACAGCAAGGATGGGACCCTCAGGACAATAACATATTGAGGGGGCCAAGGATGCTCTGGTGAAGTTGAGTGGTCCAAGGAGGAGGAGAGGACCCAGCAGAGAACAGGGTCAAAGAGAGAGAAGAGAGCCGAGGTGGAGTAGTATGACAGTGCCAAGTAGGAAATGAAAATGCCTGCTGGGCTTGGTGATTTGGGAGTGACCTGGGACCCAGGGAAGAGCCCATTTAGTGCTGAGAGAAAGATGCTGTGTGCAGAAAAGTGAAGGAGAAGCAATCAAGACTTTTAAGTACAGACTGTCGTTTCAACAAGGTCATCTTTGAAGGAAAAGGAAGAAAGAGTAAGAACTCAGAAGAAGTCTGTGGTTTGTTTTTTAACAAGGAAAATACTTGAATGTATCTAAAAGAGCAGAGAGGTGTACATTGCAGTGGGAGAAACTAAAGATAGGCGAAAGTTGAGGAATGAAAAGGAGCCCATAGAACCTGATGATTTGCAAACTCCAGATCTTGTTCTTTCTAGATTTTCTTGGATGTTGCTGCCAGATTAATCTACCATTTAGTCCTCTCATTATCCTGTCCAAGCCAAGAGGAGAAAGTATTGACTGAGTGCTGTGCTGGGCTCTTCCCCAGCCAGCATCTCACTTACTTGACACACACATCCATGGGTAAGTACTGCTACACCTCTTATGGTGGAAGAAATTGGCTCCAAAAGGTGAAATAACATGCCAAAATTTGAACACAGATGTTTTGTTTTGTTGGCTTTTTGCTTCGAGTTTAATGTGAATTCTCACTTTCTTCCCTTGACCTGCTGCGACTTCTTATATCCTAGTATATTTAGTAAAACTAGAAACTTCTGTATCCTGGCCTAATTTTCTTTTCAGCATCACTTCTTTTTTCTGTACTAAAGCTTGGTACAGTTGAAAGCTTTGTTAGATTTTTTGCTCCTGTTTTATAAAAGATGAATAGAAACTGCAAATCCAGAAGTGCTGTCTCTGGTGCCAGCATTATCATTGTAAACTGGCTAATGTTAAGAAAAGATAGAAATTATTAGTAATGTGGGAAGCAGTGACTTTTAGTCTCTCATCATTGGTAATTAAATTTAAATCATTTGATGATGTTCAGTTATGAAGGAAACAAAAATTAAAAACATGCATAAAGTATTAGAAACCCACTAACAAATATTATGTGTAAAAATACAGTTGGGGATTCTATAATCTTTTTAGGTCTCCAGGAAGCCACCCTAACCATCTCTAAACATGGGAGCCCACTGTCTGTGTTTCATACGTGATTTTTAAAAAATTTCAACTGGGAGTGGTGGCTCACTCCTGTAATCCCAGCACTTTGGGAGGCTGAGGCAGGTGAAGGTCAGGAGTTCGAGACCTGCCTGGCCAACACGGTGAAATCCCATCTCTACTAAAAATACAAAAATTAGCTGGGCATGGTAGCATGCACCTATAATCCCAGGTACTTGGGAGGCTGAGGTGTGTGAATCACTTGAACCTGGGAGGCAGAGGTTGCTGTGAGCCAAGATTGCACCACCACACTGCAGCCTGGGCAGCACAGTGAGATTCTGTCTCAAAAAAAAAAAAAATTCAGAGATGTACTAGGTAACTACCTCTGTGTATATGTATGTGTGTCCATGTAAATATATGTGTACATATGTATAGAAACACACATGGAGAATTTATATACTGTTAGTCTTTATCTACCTGCATGCTCACATAAGCCTTACTGATATTTAATACATGCATATATCTTTGCTTCCATTACTAGGAAAATTGATCTAAAACACTATAATAAATGTAGAAGTATTCAAAAAGTTCATTCTTCCTTAAATAAGACAGACCCACTGCTGCCACAGGGCCTTAGCACTGGCTGTTACACTGTGTCTGGGAAGGTCTCCCTTAGATAGTCCTATGACTTTCTCTCTTAGTCCCTTAAAGTCTTGGTTTAAATGTCACCTTTTCAGTGAGGCCTTTCCTTATGACCCAGTTTAAAATTGCAGACCTTTTCTCTCACCCATCATGTTCCCTATATGCATGTAAATGCTTTTACTGTTCTCCTATAAGGAATACCACTAAATACTAAGTATTTTAATTATTGTCTTCCTTTCTCTTGCTGAAATATGTTTCATAAGGGCAGAAATTTTTTCTGTTCATTGCTATATCCTGAGCACCTAGAACAGTACCTGGCTTGATAAGTATTTATTGAATGAATGATTTATTATGTTCATAAAACCAGTCTGACTGCTATATAGAGAATGCATTGTAGGGTACAGCAAGAGTTTAAATAGAAAATCCAGGCAGATGGGTTTAGAAATAGTCTAGTTGGGTGTTAGGAGAAACTTAACTGTTACACAGGAGATGGAAGAAATATAAAATGAGAAAAGAAATAAATCAACTTACCCTTTCCATCCCACACACCAATACTGTGCAAGCTCCCAGCCTCTGCTATGGCCAGTCATATGTACTAAGGGGTCTGTGACAGACAGGACACCTTGGTCTGGAGACTCTTGTTCATGTCCTGATGAGGATCAACGTTATATACATCCTATAAGTTAATGAGGGAAGGCAGAAAAAGCATTCCAAACCATTAAGGGAGTATTGAATGTTTCCAGTATTATCACTCAAACGTCTTGCTTAGGAAAAAAGGAAAAGCAGAGAAAACTGTATGTTGCTTGTTATAAAATAGTAATAATGGTAATGGTAATAGCTAATAATTATTGGATCCTTATTATTTCCAAGCATAATGCTTTGTGCTTTATAAAGTCCTTATTTAATGGGATAGTAAAATTGCAAGGATATGAAACATTGTCTAATCCTGGAAGAGCTACAGTTTCTGATCTATAATGCTCAGGTTCCAAGCCCACAATACTTCATCAATTCTGAGTAAAGCCACCCTAACCATTTTTCATTTTGTAGGTAGACAGTTATATCATCTGGTATTGGCGAGACCAGCTCCCAATACATCAACATGGGTTTAAGATCTCTCAAAGTGATTGAGTGGTCAGTGAAAAAGAGAGACAAGGAAAAAGTTTTCCTGAAAGCCGGGCCCAGGGGAGACACCACATAAAGCCACTCCGTGGATGTCTGACATTCCCCTGAAAACCGGTTTTTTATTGTGCTCTTTCAATAGGGGAGAGGGAGTGAAGTTACGCAGAGTTTCAGTGATAATTATACAAAAAGTATTCATTTGCAAAAACTGATGCACAAAAATCACAACCTGGTATTATAAAAGCAGAACAATGTAGATAACTTTCTGTGTGTCAGCACAGAAACCGTACACCTTAGCAAGACTGTAGGTTAAACATAAACTTATGATTATCAGCAAGAACATATTGGGCTCACAGCTAAAGGGGGAACAGGATCTGACTCAGAACAGCCAGCCTGACCACAAAAACTGCAAGAGGAGGGGGCCTCCATGCAGGCCTGGAGGAGCAGTGGGAGAAGAAAGACTTAAATCTTTAATTCAACCACAGAGACAGATGTCCCTCATGCGTCTGTCTATAGGCTCTCCATAAGGGTCGCCTTCCCTTTCCAGGGTCCTAATAAATATGTCTTTCCTGGGAAAGGAATCTAGGTAATAAGCCTCTCCATTACACGTCCATTTATAGGCTCTCTGTAATGAGAAGCCCATTACATGCTGTCATCTCTCTTCAGCACTGAAGCTACCTGGTTAGTCCCTTTCAGAGTTCCTGTTTTTACCAGAACAGTTCGGTAGAGCCAAAGTTACAAGCTGCAGCTCAGCAGAGCCAAAGTTATAAGTTGCAGCTTTGCAGAGCCAACATTATAAGTTTCATCTCAGCATTTCATATTATCCTTCATTTTCTCAAATATAATCGATACAGCAAGTAACAAGCATCACAAAGTAAATAACTCATTTCAGGGAAACCAAATTCAACAACAATTTCTTCTTCTTATTTCAGGTAACTTGGGTTTTGCCAATTCTTCCAGAAGCTTGGGGTTGCTCAGTCACCACAGAGGGGTTCAGAGTATTCCCAGCAATCTGGGAAAAATTAAAATTTCCCCCCATTTCACTTGTGACATTGGTTACACTTTTGAAATAACATTAAATAGAAGTAGTAATAGTAAGCACCTTTTCCTTGGTTCTGTTTTTTTTTTTTTTTTTTTAATTTTTTATTGGATGATAGGTTTTGGGGTACATGAGCAGAGCATGCAAGACAGTTGCGTAGGTACACACATGGCAGTGTGCTTTGCTTTTCTTCTCCCCTTCACCCACATTTGGCATTTCTCCCCAGGCTATCCCTCCCCACCACCCCCTCCCACTGGCCCTCCCCTTTTCCCCCCAATAGACCCCAGTGTTTAGTACTCCCCTCCCTGTGTCCATGTGTTCTCATTTTTCATCACCCACCTGTGAGTGAGAATATGCGGTGTTTCATTTTCTGTTCTTGTGTCAGTTTGCTGAGGATGATGTTTTCCAGATTCATCCATGTCCCTACAAATGACACGAACTCATCATTTCTGATTGCTGCATAATATTCCATGGTGTATATGTGCCACATTTTTCCAATCCAGTCTATTATCAATGGGCATTTGGGTTGATTCCAGGTCTTTGCTATTGTAAACAGTGCTGCAATGAACATTCGTGTACATGTGTCCTTATAGTAGAACGATTTATAGTCTTTTGGATATATACCCAGTAATGGGATTGCTGGGTCAAATGGAATTTCTATTTCTAAGGCCTTGAGGAATCGCCACACTGTCTTCCACAATGGTTGAACTAATTTACACTCCCACCAACAGTGTAAAAGTGTTCCTTTTTCTCCACATCCTCTCCAGCATCTGTTGTCTCCAGATTTTTTAATGATCGCCATTCTAACTGGCGTGAGATGGTATCTCAATGTGGTTTTGATTTGCATCTCTCTGATGACCAGTGACGATGAGCATTTTTTCATATGATTGTTGGCCTCATATATGTCTTCTTTCGTAAAGTATCTGTTCATATCCTTTGCCCACTTTTGAATGGGCTTGTTTGTTTTTTTCCTGTAAATCTGCTTGAGTTGTTTGTAAATTCTGGATATCAGCCCTTTGTCAGATGGGTAGACTGCAAAAATTTTTTCCCATTCTGTTGGTTGCCGATCCACTCTAGTGACTGTTTCTTTTGCCGTGCAGAAGCTGTGGAGTTTCATTAGGTCCCATTTGTCTATTTTGGCTTTTGTTGCCAATGCTCTTGGTGTTTTGTTCATGAAGTCCTTGCCTACTCCTATGTCCTGGATAGTTTTGCCTAGATTTCCTTCTAGGGTTTTTATGGTGCCAGGTCTTATGTTTAAGTCTTTAATCCATCTGGAGTTAATTTTAGTGTAAGGTGTCAGGAAGGGGTCCAGTTTCTGCTTTCTGCACATGGCTAGCCAGTTTTCCCAACACCATTTGTTAAACATGGAATCCTTGCCCCATTGCTTGTTTTTGTCAGGTTTATCAAAGATTGTATAGTTGTATGTATGTTGTGTTGCCTCCGGTGCCTCTGTTTTGTTCCATTGGTCTATATCTCTGTTTTGGTACCAGTACCATGCTGTTTTGATTACTGTAGCCTTGTAGTATAGTTTGAAATCCGGTAGTGTGATGCCCCCCGCTGTGTTCTTTTTGCTTAGAATTGACTTGGCTATGCGGGCTCTCTTTTGGTTCCATATGAAGTTCATGGTGGTTTT